GTTGGGAAGCCTTCTGGAGACGGTCTGCGGTAGATGTTAGTGAGCATTTGGTGTATGGTTGATTCCATTGGTCATCAGTCAAAGGCATCACTGTTCGGGGTTGTTAGAGCCGGTCCCAAAATTTGATTGAGATTGGCCTGTAGAGTACTGACCTGGGCAGAGAGGTTTGTGATAAATTTTTGTATGTTCAATTTCCATTGGTCATTGGGTAAGGAGTCGTTGGGGACGAACGTCTCAATTGGGGATTCGGCCTGGCCCGACAATTTTCGCGGATGTGGGACTGTGGGACTGTGGGACTGTGGGACTGTGGGACTGTGGGACTGTGGGACTGTGGGACTGTGGGACTGTGGGACTGTGGGTCCCCAGACTCCCTACTGGATAAATTTTTTTAATTTTAATTTTTGATTGAAAATCCAAATTTCAAGTCAACGTTTTGGTGGGGTCTGTGGGTTTTTTTGAAAGTGGTATTCAGTTCTACACTGGTGACCTACTGGTCACCGAGATTTACGTTTCGGAGGCGAAAATTTGAATCAAAGGTCCGTAAATAACCTTCAAGCTCAAGTGCATGATTTTTTTTCTTCATCTTTCCGATTTCCAATTTGGATGCGTAGCTTTATCCTCAGACCTGATTATTATGACAGTAAACCTAACTTCGTAACGGAAATTGGCCAGAATTGTATCCAAAATTTTATGACCGTATTCTAGCCAATGAGATTCTCTCCATTCAGTTTTGAATCAGGAATTGTAAAACCCGGATACTCTCCGGTAATTTTATTGCTGACAATTTCAAGGGAGTTTGTACTGCTAGTGGGTCACATATCATTACTCATTTATAGTACAAATTATACTGAAAATAGCTAACCCGGATACTCTCCGAAATTTTGTTTATATGAGCTCAATATTACAACCATATTATACGTTGAATGTATCCACACGAACGCAAATAAATAATCATATTATGTTCACAAACACGATTGAGACTAAATTGACCTTGTTTGCTGTACGTGCTTGTGTGTGTGTTGGTGTCAGTTGGCACCAAATGATAAAGAGTATTGTCGAGTTTTTTTCGTCTTTTCTAGGAGCAAAATCACAAGAGTAGGAATTTCCAGTCTATATTTAATTTCCAATTTTTACTGGCCCCTCAATAGTAGTGTAAGAATCAACCAAATATTTACCTCGAGTCCAACGGCAACAATAGTATGTGGAGGACTCACAAAATCGGCTCATAATAATAATAATTTTTGAAAAAAAAAGTGCTGTTTCATACTGATCCTTGTAGTCCTTATATATTCGGCCGGGGTCTCATTTTGTTTTTGGCCCGGCTTGTCTTGTGTCCGGAATATTTCTAAAAAAACTCCAGAAGACTTGTCCGGCACTTTTAGAGTTATTAAAAACAGTCTGTTTTTCATTGTAAAAAAATGATGAACCTTTCCATCTGAAGTGAACCTGTACTGAGTCCTGGGTGCAGGACCGTCCGACTTATGTCCTAGGGCAAGTGTGACGTCAAGTGTCACATCCTGTACTGTCGATATGTACAAGAATTTTAGATATTTGATTGTGTCGATACTGTATACGGCAGTAAAGGGCTAACGGCACCAGTGAGGGGCTGAGGGCCGTGACTACAAAATCATCATTTTATTTTTCAGAAAAGAAAAGAAAAATTAACCATGTATAAACATATATTACATAGTACAATAGAGTATTTTTAACAAATACATATACATATTTACATACCTGAGTTATGAGTACATATTTAGAATGCACATACATTAGCTCCGGGGTAGTAAAAAATCGCCGGGATCCCCTGTCCAATATGTCATTGGACAACCGAGAGGAAAAACTGTTCTCGAGTAGTTACTACTTACTACTCTCTAGAGTAGTATGTAGAGAGTAGAGTCGTAGAGAGTGAATAGAATTACATACTGATATGTACTTTGCTGGGCTGGGAAAAGACGCCGACATTTGGCAAAAAGACATGTCAGACGTGTCGGCACGACATTTTGTCAGACATGTCAGTCGGCGTCGGGTGTCGGCGACAGACCCAGTGTTGATCCAGACCTGACTGTCGCAACACCAAACGACATGCACTACACGTCGCGGCTGAACACTGATGTCTGAAACTCTGAACTCTGAACTCTGTAGTCTGAACAGCGACAACCATATCATACGTAGCCTTCTAAATTATACAGATGGCTATGCGACAAGCCGACAACTCTATGTAAATATTTAATATTTACACAATCTAGTATTTACTAATTCAGCTGGAGTAAATATATGGTGAATACTGAATTACTGAGTCGATGCGGGCCTCGGCATTTTTATATTTTACTTTTGTTTAAAAAACAAAAACAAAACAACAACAAATGAGTATTAGGCAACCAACCATATTACCATAACCTTGTCTAAATATTACAAGAAGGCTATGAACCAACGGAAAAATAAAAATGGACATCCCAAGTCCTTTTTAGTTCCAAGAGAGTATTTAGTTGTAAGTTGTTAGATTGTCAATTACTTGCCAGGTCTGTATGTAATTGTATATAAGAACTCGAGGAGTCCGTGTGCAAGACTCATATTTTTCTCAGTCGAATACAGACATACACGATGGGTTTGAAGGCAATAAAGCAATACTTTCATAAACATGCCGGCTCAAAGGGAAAGAGCCATAACGAGAATATGCGGAGAGGGAGTCTGAGCAAAGGCATGTGTGATGTTCCTAAACAATTGCACCTATCTGATGTATACCAGTCACGCACCGAGCCGAACTCGACAGAATCAATAGGCTTTTCTATAGGCTTACAGTCAAATGATTCAGTTCTCAACAATTCACGACCCAAGGACTTCCAGAGAGGGCCCACAGATCAGAAAATTGAAAATGCTACAAGTTTTAGAGTTATCAGTATATATGTATCACAAGGGGTTGGGGAATCAGCAGCCTACCCGACCATCGCCCATGAGAATTCGGCCGGTCATTCACCTGTCGCACGTGTCGATACAGGCTCGTATCCTGAATATATTTCACAAAAGAATCTGTCAAGCCCACAACACTCGTCAGCCAGTGTGAGATCGGCGAGCCGTTCGCCTATTGTACCTACCCAATCAGGACGGTATCCAAGGAATCGCACAACTGTATCTTCTCACCCGCTCTCTCGTAGTCGTAGTAATTCATTGATGAGCCAGTCGTCGTTTATAGAGGCCAGCAGCGCGCCCGTGTTAGCTCGTGAAACAGCAGTGCTACGTCATTTGTCGGAAGCTACCCCACGTCGCTCAGCATCCTTGTTTTCGGCGATGAATGGTGCATTAACCTCCCAGGAGAGCATAATTTTACCACAACAGCAACACAATGGAGATAGAAACCGGTTCGCTCATTTATTTCCGGAGAACAGCCCGAGAGTTCCGATGGATGGCACCCACACTAGCAACTACAGAGTGTCGCATCCTTCTCAGTGCCGCACCCAGGGGTCAACCACCTCTCTCGTTACCCAGCAATTGGTTCTCTCCACCATACCTTCGGCGTCGCGTGATCGGGGCTTGGATATCAGTTTGCCACCATCACCCCTACAGTCGCCCATGTACATTAATGGAGCCCCAATCGATACACCTTCATTAGCCAAAGGTCAAAAACCCAAAAAGGTAATGAAGTCCATAGCGGAAAAGAAACCATCATCATTTCGGGAGAGACTGGGAGGTCGGTATCGCGTGCAGTTTGAAGAAACTCCAATTGAGTACCAAACATTTGACAGTTCAGTGTACGACCGAAAGCCGCCAGTGACGTCCCCAAAGAAAGATTCGATGATGCGAATATATCGCGAGCTTATGACATTCAAACTCACGGAAATGCTGGTGCACCCGGATTCGCTTGAAAACACGAACAAACACCTATCGCAACTGAATACGGAAGATCGAGCTAAGTTGGTCGGAGAAATTGAGCAGATTTGCATGAGATTTATCCGATAACTGATTCATAAGAACAATTCTTTCAGTGGATAGCCATTTCTAATAAAATCTACCTTACAAATATGATGTGACTCGCGAACTATGGCTATAAGACACTGGTTCGCACGGCTGTATTCACATCTGAGTTCGTTTTGGCATTGGTTTACGGATTGACATCGGATCAATGCATACCCGAGACACGAACCTACTTGTTAATCACGAACTCACAGCTCGTCGGTATCGCAAACTCATGTGATAAGATGTATATCAAAGATATTTATTTCACTTTAGATTGGCTCCGCGGCCGCCTAATACTGCTTGCGTGCTCCATACTCGGGCATAAATCCACGGCAAGGTCGTCTCGCGCTTCGAAATTATCCAAAGTACTATTCATCATCAAACGTGTGCGAAGATTATCATCTTGCCGTACCTTGTGAACCTGTCAATGGGTTGTGGTGACACAAACAAGTGTAAAATCTAAGGTGCTGCCGGTTCGAAATTCAGAGTGATAGGTGTATGTAATTTGTTCGAGAAATTAAAAGAAAAACGTACGTTTATTGAAGTCGACATTCAAATATGAGAGTGATGGCAAAGCCCAGAGAAGAACATATATATAGTATTCACGAGTAGACGCCATAACTAATATATATATATATATATATATACATACAGACATACATACATACATACACACACACACACACACACACACACACACACACATATATATATATATATATCTATATACATATATGCATATATTCATACATACATACATACAAACATACATATAAGTGTTCTCACTTCTATAAGGTGTTGCTTCCATCGTGCCAAAAAAAAGATTGCTAACATTTAGTCAATTGTGTAGCTGTACTACATTGCAGACTGAGGATGAAACGAGGACTTGAAAAGCGTATAACGTATAAAGCCATCGTACAAATTGTTGATGAAAACAAACTGCCAACAAATAACTTACTAAATCGCAAACCAACGCCAAATAATATATACAAAGGCAAAGAAAAGTCCGAGGGTGCATACAGAAACCATATAACAACCATGAAGCCCGCACACACACCGTACGGAATTCTGCTAGATTTGTCTGATGAGTCTGAAGGAGCTCTATCACTTCTGCTTGCACATTCTACTAGTACACGCGTACATACATATGCACAAACATATGCACATACACACTGCTAGATATAGACCGTTGACTGAACTGTCTTACTATTTGGCAAAACTCGGACAACCGAGGAACTATGACGCTCTCCCAAACGTCGGCATTTTCAAAGTCTTCCAGTCTCACTCGCGAGATATCCATTAAAGACTCTCCTTTCCCCTGTTCGAATATGTGGTCCATACAAATGTGTCAATTTGAGTAACCACCATGATCATCAATCATACGTACATGGATATACCTTCTAACGCAGTTTTAAGGATGCGCATACACACGATTATAAATGTATATATCATATTTATCAATCATATATACATGTATACACATTGCTACGCAGCTGTAATGATGCGCATGTACATGATTATATATATATATACATATATATATACATACATATATATATATATATATTATAATATACTATATAGTTACA